ATCGTGTAGTAACCTTGTGTTCTTCTTGCTCATTTCTGAAAAGTTTGAGGCTTCCATTTTTAACAGGTCTTTAACTCCAGAGTTATCTTCAAAAGTATCCTTTAACTTCTAGATGTGTCCATTTTTTTCTTGGCTATTTTAATTTTTAATATACTGCATAGAATTTGTTGACATTTTCTTTCTGGCCTTAATGTCTGATCAGTCTTGGTAAGTGTTCCAAAAGTGTTTGAAAAGAAAATGTATTCTCTGTAGAATGGAAAATTCTACATGGGTATTCATTAGAACAAACTTAGAAAATATTAATAGCACAGTTATTTGTATTTGTTAGTTCATTTGTTGCTTTCCAAAAGAAATATACCAAAGTCTCTCACTGGTACTTTGATTGATGATTTCTCTTCGTATTTCTGTCAAACTTTTACTGCCTAATTTTTAAATTAGATTTATTGGGGTAACATTGGTTAATAACATTATATAAACTTCAGGTGTACAACTTTATAACATGACATCTGTGCACTCCATTGTGTGCTCGCCACCGGAAGGCTCGTCTCCTCCCTTCGCCGTATTTTCCAGTTCTCTTGTTAGGTACATAAAGACTCATGACTTGCTTTCATTTCCCTTCTGTCTTATGTTAATCTTACCACACCTGCTTTTTGTTTATGTTAGACGTTATAGGGTAAATCTTTATCCATCCCTGTATTTCTAGAAGTATATCTCATGTGAATACTTACAGTTGAATTTTTTTAATTAATCTGGAATTCTCTGCTTTTAAAAAGCACATTTAGCCCACACACATTTATTGTAATTACTCATATGCTTAAATTTACATCTGTCATTTTATTTTATAATTCAATTTATATGAATTCTTTTTTTCCCCCCTCATTTCTGTGTTTGATTTAATTTACCTTTTTCCATAAAGAAGGCATGTAAGTTAAAATCACAAAAGATAGTGGTAGATGTAGGTTCAAACATGCTGTGCAAATTACAGGCCATATTTTTTATAGTTTCTTTTGTTTCAAGTCTTCTAGTTGAATTCTCACGTTTATTCACTAGTTACTTCATGATTTTTGAATGGTGAGCTTTCTGAGTCCTTATGCTTGTGAAGATGTCATTATTTCACTCACATGCTGAAATCATAGTTTGGCTGGGGGAAATTTCTAAATTCGAATTGTTTTCCCTGTTAAATTTGAAGTTACTGTTTTATTTTGTTTCTTGCATCTGGGGTTGTTGATTTATTAAAGTTTGTGTCAATCTAATCCACGTTCCTCTGTAGATAATCCTGGTTTTCCTCTCTAGACGTGCTTAGGGTTTTCTTTTTATCGTTTGTTTTCTAGGTATAGTTTTCTAAGTAAGGACCTTTCAGTCTGAACACTTTTTTCTTTGGTCAGTTCTTGGAGATTTTCGTCTACAACTGCTTTGAGTGTGTGTTCAGCTTTGTTCTCTCTGTTTTTCTTCTAGAAGTTCTCTTGCGCAATATTGAAATTACTGCATAATAGACATATCCTCCAGAATTTTATGCCTCCTCATGTAGTGTTGGTAATTCTTGACTATGAGCTGACCTCTGTGTCTCCCATCCCCCTCCCCCATCTCACAAGGAGTAGGAGGTGCTGCCTGGCTGAGTACACTGGTACCTGGCGCATGTTCCTCCTGGTCCATTTCCGTGCCCTGCTCTGGGTACAAGCCAGGAGGGCACCAAACCAGTGAGACCACTTTAAAGTTCCTTTTTGTGGAACTTAACCCTCTTTCATATATACCTGTACAGATCCCCCAAAACACACACATACACACCCCTATAACCCTGGCACACCTATGCCATCCTTTATGCCTCTGTTAGAGTCATATGGAAATTATGGTCACTATTCAGTGTTCACATTGTTGTGGATGTTGATTGTCGGTTTGTTTTGGTTTGGTTTGGTTTTACACCACATAAAAATGTAGAACATATTCCTTACTTCAGCTATGATAAACATTTTCCTGTTTGGTCTCATGTAACTCTTAAAATTTAATAATCAATGTCAAAACTCATTGAAATGTACTATTTAAATGAGTGTATTTTATTATGTGTAAACTGTACCTTGGTAAAATTGAAATGTTTTTAAAGTTAAAAATAATTATTGATCAGACTGATTTCTGCATAACTGCTATGTTAATAATAGGACACATGAGTAACAGTGAGATGGTAATAATTTCCTCTGGGTATTTTTTTTCCTAGGGTGTACTTTCTAATGAGGTATTTACCATATTGTCTAGTATTCCTGAGGCTGAAAAATTTGCTAAATTCTGGATCTGCAAAGCAAAGTTCTTGGCAAGTAAAGGCACCTTTGATGTTATTGGACTGTACGAAGAGGCCATTAGAAATGGGGCAACAGTGAGTATCTGTCTTGAGTGGGTGATTTCCTGAAAATTCTCTCATACTAGTATGAGTTCTATTGTTTGCAATATGGCAGTTTATATTGCACAAATTCGTGCACAGATGGGGTCCAGCCAGCCCAGCCCCAATCAGGGCTGGCCCTGTCAGGAGGAGAAGATGGCGGGAGGTTGGCCAGCCAGCCCTCCCCAATCAGGGCCCAATCAGGGCAAGGCTGGCTGGGGAGAGGGGCTGCGGGCGATTGGCCAGTGGGCCCCGCCCCCTATTGGGGTTGGGGGGCTGTTTGGTGGCAGGGCCAGCCGGCCCCACCCCCAAATGGGTGGGGGGTGCCAATCAGGGGCCCACAGCCTGGGAAGGGGCCATGGTGGTTGGTCCACCGGCCCCTGCCCCTGATCGGGGTGGGGGGGGGGGTAGATCTGGAGTGGGGCCGGGCAGGGAAAGGGCTGCAGGAGATTGGCCGGCTGGCCCTGCCCCCTATTGGGGTGGGGGGAGCGATCAGCGAGAGGGCTGCAGGTCAAACAGGGTAGTGGAGACCCATAGGGGGCAGGGCTG